CCGGGCCCCTTTCCCCAGGGGCTGTGTGGGGGTGGGGAAAGTTCGGGGCCGCGGCGTCAGGGGCTCAGGGGACCCCGAGACCCCCGAGGCCGCCTCCAGCCCGAGGCTGGGTGGTGGCAGCGCGGGAGGAGCGGGCCGGGCGCTGGCCCCACAGCACGGTCCGTCCCTCCGCACGCCCCTCCCGCCCGGATTCGGAGGGACTCGGAGGGAGGAGACGGGAATAAATACCTTGACTTTGTGGTTAAGGTTAACGGGAACTGCCACCCCGGGGCGACTTGGGCACTGGGCTCCCCGGCCCCGCCAGTCCCGGGACAGGCGGGGCGGGCACCTGCTCTTGATTGGTTAATGGGCCTGGCCATCCCCAGGGCCGTCCCCCCATCTGATTGGCTGAGCGGCTCAGATGACCAGCTCCGCCCTATCGGAGAAGCCCGCGGGGCGGCCCCTTTGTTCTCCTGAGCCAATAGCCCGCGTGGGCGGGCTGACCTCGGTGCCCGCGGGGCCTCCCGGGGCCCCGCGCAACGTTAACGCTTTGGCCGCCGGCTCCGGACTTGAGTCCAGGGCTCGGAAGGGAAGGGAACGGGGGCGAGCCCGGGTGCTGATGACCGGGCGGCGCCGCGGCACCCTGGTGCTCCCCTCGCCGTGTTCTCCCTCCGGGTCCAGCCCCGAGGACGCGCTCTCAGATCGACCCGGTCGTTCCGCAACTATCCGTCCGACTCAGGGACGCGCCCGCACCGCTCTTGGTGCCGGGATCCGGGGGAACGAGACGTACAAACCCCACTCTGACGCTCCCACTCGAGTGTGCGTGTGACATGGTGGTGGCACTTGGCACTACGGTACACCAAGTCTTAGGGTGAGAAGCAGTACTTGTCTCGCGCGACCCGAGAGAAATCGCCCTCCGCACCCCGCGAGGTCCCAGGCACGTCGTGGGCGCGTGATGGACGATCCTGGGGTCTCTGCGAGAGACGGAGACATCATTAAATCCAACCCCCTCGCTTTCTCGTCAAGAAACAGCGGTCTGAAGAGGTCACGTTCTTAGGTCGAGTGCCACTGCTGATTTTTAGAGGCAGGGTCCAGACGACCAAGGAGGATCTTCTGTTCCTGGGGATCTTCAGGAAAGAGAATTTTCATTTCTACCCACACTAATTGGAAGCCAAGGTTCCTTTGTACCAGTGAGATTCCTGACAGTGCTGCCTCAAGCCAGCTAGGTCAACTCCCACCGGCAGGATGCTCTCTGGAGCTGCCTAGAAACTGCCTTTGAGACACGAGGTTGTTAAAAACATAAGCTGGCCGCTCTCTCTCCGAGACTTCCTACAAATCTACCGTTAAGCGGGTGGACCTCATTCTAATTACTCTAAAGCTGCCTACTAAGCATTTGCCACGGCCCCAGCTATTGTTTAGCCGCCTAACAATAGATACTGTTGGACTGAGATTCTGTCAATTTTGCCACTAACTTCTGTGCAGTTTTTACAAAAGATACTTTTCTGTCGCTGGACTTTGACTTAACTGTAAACGAGTTAATAATTTCCTAGTTAGATACTTACCTTCCTGGATTTTTGCAGGACCCAAATTGTTCAATTGTCTATGGAAGCATTTATAAAGCATAAAACCCTACACAGAAGCCACTCGGCCATCAACCTTTTACAGAATCCCATTCGTCTCTTCATTTTCTTGATTGCCTACTGAAGGTTTAACAAAGGCTTGTGTAATTCCAGTATGCTAGTTCCCAGATCTGCCACTGGTTATGAATGAGAAGACCACTTCTCTCTGGACATGGTTCCTCCTCTAAAGAGTGCAAGACTTCCTCCAGATTGACATTTCACGACCAAGAGTATTTCAAGGACCAAAAGAATGAAGCCCATCTGGGATCCTATTTGCATTAAGAAAAAAGAGACAGACGGAGCACCTGGGTGGCTCAGTTGGTTAAGCCTCCGACTTCGGCTCAGGTCTGGATCTTGAGGTTTGTGAGTTCGAGCCCTACACCAGGCTCTCTGCTATCAGCACAAAGCCTGCTTCTGATCCTCTGTCCCCCAGTCTGCCCCTCCCCCACTTGCATGCACCCATAAGCTCTCTCTCTCTCAAAAATAATTAAACATTTTTTTAAAAAAGGAAAAAAAAGAGAAAAGACAGAATGGGGAGCAGGGGGGAATGGAAGACTTCCACATTTAAAAAATATATGTCTGTATTATTAAATTTTGACAAGATAATTGAGTACTTTTGTAACTGTAGAAGAAAAAGGAGGAAAATAAAACTGGACACCTTGGAACAGAAGCATAGCTCCTGTCTGCAGAACTATGGCCCCTCCAGCCTGAGCATTTCCTCCTTCAAGACTGCTGTCAGCAGTGCGCCATGCTGAGCAAGGATTTGGGAACCACCTGGTCCCCCAAGGGACCCAGAAAGGACCCACGGACCCAGCTCTGTCACAGCTTTACCAGCCCTCTCACGGCAACTTCTGTGGCTCTCCCTTTTTCAGGGCACTTGGGTGGCTCAGTCGGTTAAGTGTCTGACTTTGGCTCAGGTCATGATCTTGCGGTTGGTGAGTTCGAGCCCCAAGTCAGGCTGTGTGCTGATAGCTCGGAGCCTGGAGCCTACTTCAGATTCTGTATCTCCCTCTCTCTGCCCCTTCTCCACTTGTGCGCCCTCTCTCTCTCTCAAACACAAATAAACATTTAAAAAATGTTTAATAAATAAAGATGATGGTTTTTCAAAGTCAGGAGCCCTGGTCAGATCCCCTCTCCCACATGCTTTTCCCCAACCCGCAAGTAAAAACCCTAGATGCCTGAGGACCTGTCTCCTGCTCCCTGCCCTGCCCATCATCTCCAGACATTGACCTACTTTCCTGCCCTCCCCCCCACCAAAAAAGCATGGTTCCCCTTCCCTTGAAGCCCTGGGGTCCCATAAAGAGATATTGGAAGTGAGGCATTCTTGAGACAATGCTTCCAGTCTCTGAAAGATAATTTGCCATTTACCACACAGGTTTTTCAGTGGCTCCCTACCCTCATAAACCCGTATGAAACTTGGAAGCTATCTACTTCCATCCTACACGCTTGGGATGGGGGAGTCCCCATCGTCTCTGCTGTCATCTACATACACATACACGTCCTCCCTGGACTTGGGCCTCTTGGAGGTAAGGACAAGATCTTGTCCTGGTAAACCCCTAGTTTCCATTGCGACATCAAGACCATGGTGGGCATTTAATGATGCTCTGCCCCCAAAGCAGCAGCATACTGCATTCACCCGATAAATAGGTGGCAGGGGTCAAGAGCACAGGTTCCAGGAGCCACACAGGCCTGGGTTGAAATCTGAAATCTGGATTCTCAGTGATGTGCCCCTGAGCAAATGTTTTCACCTGTGAAAGAAGAGCACCTACCACACCAGGATTACGTGAGACGGTTTAGGTAAACTTCTTTGCGAGGTGCCACTCACATAACCATACTGCGGTTATTATGCGCTGCATGCTAGGTGCTGGATCTGTGCAGAAATTACTAAACCTGGCGGGAAAAGGGCCTCCCGATATGTGTCAAAAATAGGCACCCAAATTTGCAGGAGACAACCGGTGCAGGGAAGCATCTGTAGTTCCAGATGTGGGGGGCTGCAGCGGGCCAGCCTCGAAGGCACTGCAGGACATTCACATCAGACCTTTTCCTCCTGATAACTGGCACCAGACAAGTCTGACTCGACCCCACAGAAAGCTAGTCCCCCGGAGAACCAGTCCCACCTGCGGGGTGCGCCTGGCCTCCCCCCGCCCCCGGGAAGAACTGGAGGCAGGGTGCAAAGGAGCCCGAGTGGGGCACTTGTCCTGTGGCCAACCCCCGCCCCCAAATTCCCCTCCTCAGAGCAGAGTAATGCTGCTGCTCCTTCAAACTACACAGCTCCCCGGGAGAAAGGAACACTCGGCCACCAGCTCTAAAACCAAATCTTTATTCTCTAGTTTGAAAAGGAGGGTAAGCGGTTGTTCCGTTTCATTCCAGAGAACAGAAGGAGCCCCGGTAGGTAGAAATTACAGGAAAGCAGATTCCATTCATTCTAAGGAAGAATTTCTAACAATTAGAATTATCCTACAATAGGACCAGGGCCTCAGGAGGTGGGGACTACCCGTCACCTAAGTGTTCAAGCCGAGACTGGGCATCCATGCCCTAGAAAGGCTGGAAAGGAACCTCGCCCCTATCTTCCTGCCGGCTGCCCCTCCATTATCAGTGGGGCAGTCCTTTCCACCATGTTGAGTTCCGGAAGGAGTGGAGGGTTGGGGTGTTCAGACAAAAGCCTGGACACAGGGCTGCTGACAGTCAGGGGACGCTCAGAGCGCCGGGAGGGTGGGGTGTTGACGGTGGGGAGGGACAGGGTGGAGCTGAGTGCTAACAGCAGATGGGTCTCTCTCAGCCCAGGTGCCTATGCAGGGGCAGGAGGAAGGGGACAGGGTGGGACAGGTTACAGCAGCACGGCCTCACCTCTCAGTGCTGGAAAAGGCCCAGGTGCTGCCTAACAAGGCCAGCAGGTTCTCCCAGGTGTATCCAGCTGGTCCACTTTTCCTCCCAAGTGCTCATTTACTAAGGACTGTACCACACCTACTTCCAAAAAAAAAAAAAAAAAAAAAAAAAACCAGCGGAAGGAATTCATAATAAAGGACAAGGACATTAAGGCGTTAACACCAGAGGGGAAGGGTCTTCTTCCTGCCCCCTGGTGGCCCCTCCAGCCAGAGGGCTCTAAGGGGTAAGTGGAGCTGCTATTGCTACTTTTCCAGGGCACAGGATAGTCAGGACAGAACCTTAGCAAACACCAGCTGGAGGCCAGGGTCCCTGTGCCCCGGACAGTGGCCTCCCTGGCCGCAGGGGGGCCAGACCTCCCTCTCTACCAGGGCCCCCAGCTCACTGGCTGCCTCTCCCACCCCTCGCCTACACCAGCAGCAACCTAGGGGCCCCCCGACGGCCCAGGCCCACGGCAACGCTCCCCTGTGAAGGGCTCCCGGGGCCCCCTCGCCCTCAGCCTCCGCAGCCCCTGCCCTCTCAGACATCATGCTTCTTCTGATGGGCCAGGAGCTTCTCCTCGTCGTCAAAGGTCTGGCCGCAGATGGCGCAGCAGAAGGCGCCGTCCCGGATGTGGCTCTTGCGGTGGGTGATGAGATTGGACTTCTGGCTGAAGCTCCGGTCGCAGTCGGGGCAGGCGTAGGGGCGCTCGCCCGTGTGGATGCGCCGATGGGACACCAGGTTGGACTTCTGGCTGAAGGCTTTGCCGCAGTCTGGGCAGACGTAGGGCTTCTCGCCGGTGTGGATGCGCCGGTGGGCCGCCAGGTAGGGCTTGTGGCGGAAAGCCTTGCCGCAGTCCGGGCAGACGAAGGGCCGCTCGGGGGCATGGTCGCGCCGGTGGGCGGCCAGGTGGCTGCCCTGGGAGAAGCGGCGCCCGCACTCCTCGCAGGCGAAGGGCCGCTCGCCCGAGTGCACCCGGGAGTGCGCCACCAGGTGCGTCTTCTTGCCGAAGTTCTTCCCGCACTCGGCGCAGGAGAAGGGCCGCTCCCCGGTGTGCTGCCGCTGGTGGGCCCGCAGGAAGCGCTCCAGCCGGAAGCTGCGGCCACAGTCTTCGCAGCCGAAGAGCGAGGGGGGCGCGGCCGCCGGGGCCTGCGGGGGCGCTCCCGGGGCCTCGGGCGCAGGCTCAAGGGCGGGTTTCAGCGGGGCCTCGGCTGGGGGCTCCGACGAGGCCTCCTGCGGGCCGGCCGGAAGCTGGGGGCTCCCCGCGCCCGGGACGCCCGGCGCGGACCCTTCGGACCGCTTGTGGATCTTGCTGTGAGACAGCAGGTTGGGTTTGTGGCGGAAGCGGCGCCCGCACTCCGTGCACGGGTAGGGCTTCTCGCCAGTGTGGATGCGCCGGTGTGAGGTCAGGTAGGGCTTATTGGTGAAGCGCTTCCCGCATTCGGGGCACTGGTGGGGCCGCTCGCCCGTGTGCACGCGGCGGTGGGCGATCAAGTTGGGCTTGTGCCGAAAGCGCTTGCCGCAGCAGGCACACTGGAAGGGGCGGTCGACCGCGTCTCCACCGGGCCGGGGGGCGGTCACGGCCGGGCGGCCCCTAGGCCGGGGCCCCAGAGCCTTGGCTGCTGCCTCCTCCAGGGCCTCGGCTACGTGAACCCGCTTGTGAGCAACTAGCTGGTCCCACTGGGCAAAGCTGCGGCCACAGTTGCCACATATGAAGGGCCGGGCCTCCGGGGCTGGGGGGTGGCACCTCCGCGCGTGAGCTCGAAGCTGCTTTTGTCGCCAGAAGCGTCTCTCACATTCAGGACAGGCGATGGGCCGCTTTGCGGCCGAGTGGGCTCGCAGATGCAGAACCAGGGCCACCCAACCTCGGAAGCTCTGCCTGCAGAGGTGGCAGGCGAAGCCCAGATCTGGGGTGGCGGCGGCATGGACCTGGCAGTGCAGCGCCAAGAAGGGGGCGTGCCGGAAGCGCCGGCCGCATTCAGGACAGGGCAGGGGCAGGCGGGCCTGGCAGTGTCGGGCGTGAAGCCACAGGGCCACCCAGCCGGGGAAGTGCCTTCGACAGTGGGCACAGCGATGGGCCCTGCCCGGGGCTTGGCTGCCCGACTGGGCCACGGAAGTGCCTTGTAACCTCAGCCCGCGGGGCTCCTTCTCCAGGGTCGGGGGCAACTTCTGGGAGGGCCCAGAGAGCCTGGGCTGGGCTGGGCCCATGGCCAGGGGGCCCCTGCAGCGACGTTCCAGCATGGGTTCTTCCTCTGCTGAGGGTGGAAAAGCAGTGTCACTCTGGGGATCAACTCATCCTGCCCCCGTTCCTCCCTGGCCGACCCCAGGCCCGAGAGGAGCTCAAATCTCTGAACTGCTAGAGCCCTTGAATCAGGACTACCCTTCTATTGCCTTCTGTGTTCTGCGTCAGTTCGGTCAGGGGCTTCTAGATACCATTCCAAGTGTATTTGTCCTAAGTGTTCATTGAGCCTGGAAACTACCAGAAGGGAGGAGGAACTCTGACACTTCTTGGAATCCCCCTCGTGGCAGTCACCCCGGGTCTGGCATGGAGTAAACACTCCAGCGCTGGCTGCACAAACATTCCTGCCTTAGGACTCACCAGAAAACGCCGTCCCCTCTCCCTCTAGTGCTTTCCACTTTTCAAGTGCTTCCCTGCTGCCCTCGGCTTGTTTCTACTATTTCCTCTTGCTACCTTTGAGTAGCAACCTTGTGAGGCTGGATGAACAGACATTATTAAGCTCCCTGCTTGACAGATGAAGCAACTCTGAGGCATAAGAGGAAGGAGGGAACTTGCCCGAGAGGACACAGTAAACCAAAAGCAGAACCAAGAATAGGGGACAGGCCTTCTAAACTCCCAGTTAGCGTTCTTTCCTCCAAAACACCAGGGTATTGTACAGCTCCCACAGAAACTCCTACGGCCCTTATCCTATTTACCCTCTCCCAGGCTCTAAGCGCGCCACAGGGGAGGCATTTCTGGCCTCCCTAACCTCAGTGTCTCAGGGCGGAAGCCTGGAGAGCAAGAGAGAACAGCGCTTCTGGGGAACAGGAGGGCAGCGCTTGGATGGTGCTCCCAGGACTGCAGAACGCCAGGCCACTGTCTGTCCAGGCGGTGCCCACACTCTGCCTGCCTGCCCCCCTCCACCCACACGCGATTAGGACATCGCGAGAAGGAAAGCGCCCGTGAATCCAAGAAACACCCACAGCCTATTAGCCTCGGGCCGGATCCCTGCCTCCCCCGGGGTGGTAGCGATTACTGGGGCAAGAGAAGGGGAGGAAAGACAAGACTGCAATCTGGGTCCCCTGCCAGGTCATGCCCCAACCCCACCGGGGGCTGCCCCACATTCAGCTATTCCGCGGCGCCAGGGAGCCCAGATTCCTCAAGAAGAGCTTCCTATAGCCACTGAGGGGTGGATGGTAGCTAGCCTCTTAATGGACCTTCACTTCAGGCTTGCAACCTCCGGACACATCCTCCCTAAATCCCCTAGAGCAGAACTCCTCTGGAGGAGCCCAGACGTGACTCATTCCCCACGGCCAGACTGAGCACAGGGAAGACGCTGGTACGAGAATGTGATCCTTCCCCCCTACAGGTGACTTCCTTCCTCCAGGAGGAGATCTGAGCACTGGGGCTGTGGAATGGTGTGGGAACCCAACAAAGAAGGCCAGACTCTACCCTGCAGACCGTAGAGCTGGAGATGAGGCTTTTTCCAGCTCCTCCGGGGGATGTTCCTGGGGATACTTCTGCGGCTGTAGCGCCTGCTTCGGCCCACACTCTGGTAGCCCCCAGATGTCAGAGAAAACTGCAGCAGTAAAGACACCCCTACCCCCATGGCAGAGCTCAGACCTCTGAGCGCAGAGAGGCCAGCCTTACCTGCGGGGAGGGGAGAGAAAACACGCGTGAGGCTCTGAGCTCCTCTAGGGCAGTCATCTTTGTGTCCTCGCCAGCCACAACCCCCTCCCCCACCCAGGCTCGACACCCCGCCCGGCAGGGGAACCTTAATGGCTACTGGATTAATAAATGAATGTGTCCCCTTCACCAAGGAAGTACACGCCAGCGTTCGGGGGTCATTTCCTCCACTGGTAAGGTCACAGCACGAATTCTCCATGCTGATGGCCAAAGGCCGGCCGATGGCAGAAACTCGGGAATCCCTGCTGGCTCCCCTTCCCCCACCCTCCTCCCAACAGGAATTCCAGGCCCGTTTCCCAAGGGGCTG